CACGTGTGAATGAGGAGGAATTAGCAGCGATAGATGCCAACCACGGTCTGATGGTCGATTTGCAGGATTCAGCTTTTAAGTCTAGTGAATATTTAGAATTGCAGGAAAAGGTTAAGGCAAACATTGATAAATTTCCAGATTTAAGGGTTGATGATGGACTTTTGTATCGCAGAACTGATCATGCCACTGGAGATTTGTTGCACGATAGCTTTGCGTGGAAGTTGTGGATTCCAAGCGACTTGGTACCTGATGTGTTGAAAAAGGCTCACGATGACCCGCTAGCGTCTCATGGTGGAGTACACAAGACCTTAGAAAGAATTCGCAGATACTATTTCTGGCCAGGATTAGTGACAGATGTGAAGGAATACATAGGTAGTTGCGACGTCTGCCGAAAAACAAAGGCTCCAAATAGAGTTCAACGGCCACCAATAGGAATTGCTCCCGAATCGCAGAGATTTTTCCAGCGACTATATATTGATTTCCTCGGCCCATATCCTCGATCGCGGTCCGGGAATGTGGGGATTTTTATAGTTTTAGACCACTATTCAAAGTTTGTCTTTTTGAAAGCCGTGAAGAAAATGACTGCCGATGTGGTTGTTAAGTACTTGCAGCAAGAATTGTTTCACACTTTTGGGGTGCCTGAAACGATCGTATCGGATAATGGCTCCCAGTTTAAGTCCGAGCCATTCCAAAAGTTGCTGAAGCAGTACAAAATTTCCCATAACTTGACCGCTGTGTACGCACCGCAGGCAAATGCCTCTGAACGAGTAAACAGGTCAGTGATAGCCGCAATACGGTCATATATCCGAGAAGACCAGAAAGATTGGGACGAATATCTTAGCAGTATTTGCTGTGCTTTGCGTTCATCTATACATTCGGGAATTGGCGCAACACCCTATTACATGGCTTTTGGCCAGCATTTTGTTTCATCTGGCTCGACCTATAAGCTGTTGAGAGCTCTCGGAATGCTTGAGGATAGAGCAGCCAGATTCACTCAAGAAGATTCGTTGGAGTTGGTGCGTTCTAAGGCTCGAGAGGTTATGCAAAAACAGAATGAAAAGAACGAACGACAGTATAACTTGCGGTCTCGAGAGGTGGTGTACCAAGAAGGTCAAGAGATTTATCGCAAAAACTTTAGACAGAGCAATTTTGCAGGAGGCTATAGTGCGAAACTCGGTCCGTTATATCTCAAGGCTAGAATCCAGAAAAAGCTAGGAAATTCATGCTATGAACTGGAGGATTTGCAAGGTCGTTCCTTGGGCCGTTATCATGCCAAGGATTTAAAACAATAAGCAGGTTCAGCTACCTGCTTGGTTTGGATCTGTTTTGGGATGTCAAACCCCATTCCAGATCTTGTGGGGGGAGTTTTGTAGCGCTGGTAGCTAAGTGGGAACGCATCGTAGCTGGCGTCATCTGTGGGGTGGTTGCCGAACTAGGCTTAGGGGTAAGAGAAAGCGTGATAGGTCAACAGGGCGAAATGTCAGTTGGATTCTGCTGAGAGCGGTTCCCATTTCGGCTGTTAAGGGGCTTGCCGCCATTGGCAAGCGGCATCAGCGTTCTTTTCCCTTTGAACCCTCCACTGATCGAGACGTGGAAAATTTAAGCCATCGCAAGATCAATCATAGTCGTGGGCCTGGCAGGCATGTAAGCCTTTGCCAAGTGGAAAAGAATACTTTTTTGTGTTTAAACGAGTCAATTCACTTTGGCTGAGTCCTGAGAACGGGGTGAGTTTAAAGAGAATAATAGAAAAATCAAAAGGTTTGGTCAGCAGAACTTGGTGCAATTTATAGGGGCTCGGCGATCAGAAGCATATCTACGATATTCGGCAGTGAGAACACTCTGGATTGCAGCCAGCTGAGCGCCCGGCAAAGAACTCTCATTGGAGTGCGATTTTGGAGAGGCCGGCAGTTTCATCGCGGTGTATATTCGGCGAGGAGTGTCGGGGCGGCGCGGCAAGAATTTTTGTTAAATGCAGGCGTAAATCGGCAAAAACCTTCTTTTAATACCCCCGATTCTGTTTGACTAAGACCCCAAAACCTCAGTTTTTTTGTGGCAGTGGAAAGAAAGGAAATCAAAATCCGAGAAAAAAAAGCCAGTGGAAAAATCCGTAACCTCACAAACGGCGAAAGAGGAGAGGAAAAAAAAAAGAAGGGAAGAAATACCCAAGATGGCGGAAAAATAGGCCTAAGTTTTTATAAGTTTTTTTATTTTTTTGTAAGTGGTTTTTTTCTTAATTTATTTTAAAGTGTATTTTTGTGCTGCCAAAACTCCGGCATTGTGTTCCCTCTTTCGTAGAAGAAAAGAAAAAAAAAACAAAGTCTAAAGAAAAAATCGTATGGCCACTTACCCCCTGGAAAAAAAATTGAAAAAAAGGAAATTTGAAAATGAAAAAGTGAAAGCCCCTGTGTCCCTCAAAAAATACTTTTTTCTCATTTCGCAGCATTTTCAGCCGTCTTCGGAAAAAGCGCTTTCTTCGGGGATGCATCTGGAAAAATTGGTGAGCGTTAAAAAAATATAAAAAAAAAATATAATTTTTGGTGATAGGCGGCAATTTCAAATTTTCTAAATCTCGTAATGTGGTAAAACAAAAAAATTCAATAATTTAATTTGCTGAATTAAAAATTTTTCCATCAGTATAATCGGCATTACGTAATGGCCGAAGAGTAAGAAGTGAAGACAATAGCGAAATTTGGTGCCAATACCGTAGATTTGCTCAGCCTAAACGCACTCAACGGCAATATCGTAAATGGTTTTGCGTTGGCACTCATGTTTTGATTTCGTAGGCAAGTGGGAACGGTTACATGTCAACGTAACGTAACGTAATTAAAAGTTGAAAAATCACACCATGAAAAGGCACTTATCTTTGTTTTTCTTTTAAATTTAAAGTAAATGCAAACCTAATTGGCATGCCGGTTTTTAACGTATATATTTTAAAATCTATTTATTGCGCCCTTCTCTATTTATAAGAATTATCTATTATATTTATTATATTTATGCTATTTATTATATATTATCGCCATTCATTTTCTTATGATATTTATACCTATATATTATTTTTATATTATTCCTTGTACTTCATGTTAGTCTCGGTTAGGGTTTTCAGCAAGATTGATTTGTCTAGTATTTTAATTTGTTAGTTAATAAAAGATGTTTATAATGTGGTAAATTTGTGTGTTTGTCCTCGGCGGACATGAGACCCCCGTGAAGCCGTAACCGCGAAGGGGCCGTTCTAAAAAAAGGAAAATGGTAAGGGAACGGCCAATGGAAGGGTGGGCTGAATGCCGCCTCATTAACAGCTGAGGTGGAAAAGCGGTAGGCTCGATCACAGATGTAGGGGGCCTTACGCCCGACAATAGCCCGAGTTGTAGTAGTGTTTTCTCTCCCCGGCCTTAGTTTGGTTTGTCTTTGCACGCAATCTGAGTTTTGATAATAATCGAAGAGGCAATGACGGGTTAAAGCAAAGATCCACCCCATTAGCCGACGAGCCCAAGCCGATTGACATTTTTGCGTGCGCTCTGACCCGTCCGTAACACCCAGCCTTAGCTTATTGTTTATAGGATGTCCGTTACAGACTACGGCTGCTAAGAAGTAAATTGTGAAAAAGTACAGTACCTGGTACACGCTCGCAATCGCAATTTCAGATTTCGAAATCTGAAATTAGTTTAACAAGCCCTTTTCAGGGCTACAACTTTGGTTAACAAGAGAAAGGAACTTTCAATTGAAAACATATTGTACATTTAATGTATCCATTTATATTGTGGCACCTGGCCGCCAGTAGAAAGTATATCAGTATACCAGGTTCATAGAGGAGACATTGCACAATTTCTTTGTAAATAGATGTTAATGATTAAGTCCTTTAAAAAAATGGTGCACCAAATTGATCATTTTATATTTTATGGCAAATGGCAAATGGTTTATGGTATATTGAAAATTTAGTTTCTTTGGTAAAATATGTTGTGGCCCTGAAAAGGGCCGTTTTGGATCTTTCTCCGCATCCGCAGCAAGAGAAAATTACTTGGAGCTGGTGTATTTGGTGACAGCCTTGGTTCCCTCACTAACGGCGTGCTTGGCCAACTCTCCGGGCAGGAGCAGGCGAACAGCCGTTTGGATTTCCCGACTGGTGATGGTCGAGCGCTTGTTGTAGTGAGCCAGACGAGAGGCCTCGGCAGCAATGCGCTCGAAGATATCATTCACAAAGCTGTTCATGATGCTCATTAGAGCTGCAAAATAATCGATGGAACCATCGATAGTATCGATGGTTGGCCTCCGGTGACCGACATCGATATTTTTCAGACTATCACGATAGTTTAAAAAACCATAAATTCGGTGGAATTCTTTATAATTGTTCAGCCATTTTTAATTTTTATGAAACAACATTTTTTTTCAGATTGCGCGCGCACTGTTTTTTACTTTTACGTCATTGAAATTTATCACAAGCGTTCAGCAGACAAAATTGATCACTGATTACTGATCCATATGTATGGATACGTATTAAAAAGATCTTACTTTAAATTAATCTAATTGCGTTTTGAATTTTCAACAATTAAAATGTTTAATTTTTTAAAGGATTCCCAATGTTTATGTATGAGCGATACTATCGCGATAGTATCGAGGTTAATTCTGCAAATTATCAAAACTATCGATGGGGCCTACCATCGATGTTTTTGCAGCTCTAATGCTCATCGCCTTCGACGAAATGCCGGTGTCAGGATGGACCTGCTTCAGGACCTTGTAAATGTAGATGGCGTAGCTCTAATTCCTCTTGCGCTTCTTCTTCTTGTCGGTCTTGGTGATGTTCTTCTGGGCCTTGCCAGCCTTCTTGGCTGCCTTTCCACTAGTTTTAGGCGGCATTATTCACTTCACTTATGATTTCACAAACACAATTCACTGATCATAGTGGTGCGAAGAGAGTGTTCAGCTTTATACTTTTTTTCGAGCAATGTTTTCAGGTCTATGGCACCCACCCCTAACTGAACGCGCAGGCAGACGAAAAAGTATAAATACGTGGCTACCCGGGGCTGGGCGAGCATTCAGTGTGTTTTCAGTGTGTAAAGTGAACCAAGTGAAATACTCGTAAAGCAAAATGTCTGGTCGTGGAAAAGGTGGTTTCCAAGAAGTTGTGTTTCCGGGAACTTAGAAAATTGTCAGAAAGCGAAGTTTATTATACAGATAGTGACTGAAAATACAAGAATATACAGATAGTGACTGAAAATATCCAGTAATATACAGATAGTGACTGAAATTTTACCAAATACCGTGAGTGAAAAACAAGATACCAAAGTGGATCCGAGTACATTTAATGAGCAGATCGCTGCTTATTCAACGTCTTTAGGCATAAAAAAACCTGAACTTATTAATAACACAAAAAGCAAAACAATTAAACATCTGGGTAAAACGCGAAATGCACCTTACCTAACATCATCACATCTCACCAGGAAAATTAATCGTGCCTCAATCGAGCCGGTTAATATGTCTTTGGCTACAAATAATATGGATCCGACAGCAACACCTGAGCCCAATACCTCCAACATTTTGAAAATGGAGATCGACCTAAGCTCCATAAAGCGCCAGCGCGAAAAAAACCGTACTTCTGAGAACAGTGAAGAAGAGGACTACTCGGAAGATTCTTACGAAACTGAGGGGGAAGACGAGGAAGAACTCGAAGCCCTCATCACCAAAGAACAGCTAGACAGCATAATGGAGGAATTAGCCATCCTACGTCAAGAAAACCAGCGCCTGAAGGACGAACGTGCCGAATCAGCAGCCATCAAAAACAACAAATTTGCTCTGTTAAACAACGACGACAACAAGAACAACCAGGACTTTCCCAGGCTCGGAAAGCCGATCGCCAACAAAAAGCGATCAAAGATGACAGCAGCGACTGCGACATCACCTGTGACAACAACAACTGCAGTACCTAAACAAGTAAAAAATTTACCAGTTATTGTAGTTTTTAATCAAAATCCAAAACTTTTACAAATATGTCTGAAAACTATAATTAAGCCGGAAGACTTTATTCTAAACATTATTAACAAAAATAGGACAAATATTAAACTTTTCTCCTTAGAAGAGTTTGAGAAAACCAAGACACTTTTAACTGAACGTAACACCCGCTATTTCACGTACACGCCCAAACAATTAAAACCTCATACGGTTATTCTGAAAAAACTTCCTCCAAGCGTGTATGAGGAATCGGAAATTAAAAAAGCCCTAGCCGAATCAATACCTGAGCTTGTATTTCTGTCCGTTAAGCAGTTTAAGGAAGTCCTCTGGAAAATAACAATTCAAAAATCCGACCAAATAAAACTTATTTTTAAACTTAAAGCCTTACTAAACTGCAAAATTATCATAGAAGCTTATAAACCCCACGTGAACGAAATAAAACAATGCTTCAAGTGCCAACGTTTCAAGCACGTTGCCTCGAATTGTAGTATGGAATATAGATGCGTAAAATGCATTGAAAAGCATGAGCCAGGGCAATGCAAAATTAAAAAAGAAAATGAAGATAATATGTCGACCAATAAAGTCCAGTGCATAAACTGCATGGGACCGCATACGGCAAATGCAAAAATATGCCCTAAAAGGATGGAGATCTTAGAGAAACTGAAATGCAAACGAGCTGAAACTAAAAATAAATCCACTAAAATTATTCACAAAGCCATAAATCAAAGTAAAACAATCCAAGGGAGAAGTTTCTCCTCATTGTTTAATCACAACCCCCCAACAGCATCTAATTCTAACATAAAAACCACAAACCCAGCCCTACAACAGCACATGGGTAATGTAACAAAGTCAAAAAATAGTCAACAGATAAATGCTTTAACATTTGATGACGTAAACAATGATTCCTTAAATTTATTTGGGAAAAATATTGTACAATGCATTGAAATAATGCAAAATACTATAAAAAAATACCCTAACAACAATGACGAAAACCTAAAAAAACAAATTTTATTAGACTTTATCTTACAAATAGCCCAGTAACAATGCCTTTAAAATGTATTTTCCTGAACGTAAATGGTATTAGGCAACTAAGAAAACGTAATGAACTTAACCATTTTTTAAACACGCATCGACCTGATGTCATGCTAATTGCGGAACACCACCTTAGTCAAAACAACCCAGCCTTGTTAAAAAACTACACCTTCGTTAGACAAAATACTGGCACAAAAAGATGCAATGTATCACCTCAGAAACCAGGAACGTCGGTAGGAATATGCGTTAAAAACGGCATGAAATTTCTACAATTACATCAAAAACCAATGATTGCAATGGAGGCAGTAGCAATTCAACTAACTTACAGAGATCGGCAAAACAGAGAAAAAAATATAATATTTGCCTCACTCTATAATCGGCCACAAGATAAGCTTCACGTGCAGGACCTTAATGATCTTATAACGTCCTTTAACGTAATACCAAATTGCTCCGAGATCATCATCGGCTGTGATCTCAACGCAAAACATCCATCGTGGAACAAACCATTCTACAATCATCGCCACAGCAACCAATCTGGAACAACGCTATACAACTGGATTTCCCGAAACTTAAACCTAAACATTCTTTCTTCAAATGAACCAACCCGACCCAATCTAAATGACAAACCAGACTCGTCTATAGACCTATTTCTAACCTCAACCACAACGTCTATTGAATCGGGCTGCAGAGTCATAAAAGACTTTCCATCAGATCATTTCTCAATACAAATTATAATAAAAATAGCACAATCTCGGCTAGTTTATAATGATAGTAAATCAATATATAATTTCAACAAAATCAACCCACTACTCTGGAACAAATTAATACTACAAAACGTTCCAAGCATCCCCATCGATACAAATATAACTTCACCAGAAATAGATAACCACATCAAAACATTATCCGACGCCATTGCTAAAACCATAGAAAATCCCCTAGTGATCCCAAAACTAGAATTTAAACCAAATAGTCCAAACCGGCACACAATTAACCTGAGCAAACCATGCTTAAAGCTAATAAAAGAGAAGCGAACCCTAAGACGAACGCTATTTCGAAAAATAACATCCCTCACAATAGAAGAAAAAACCATAATCAAACAAACAATTAAAGAAATAGACATACAAATCTCAAACCACATAGAGCTAATTGAACTTAAAATCATCGGCAAGAGGCTTGCAGCAATAAACCCAAGCAAAATTAGCTATAAATCTATCAAAAACATAAATCCTCAAATTCCCAAACAAGAACAGTTTTGCCATCACATAATACTCAACGATAATGAAAAGAACTCCATAGACATATCAATAGACCAGCACACCTTTCCCACACTTACAACTGACTTCGCTAAAGTCAATGCTCTCGCCTGGTCTTTCGAGCAAACACACAAACAAAATCACCACATGACTTTAAGCAGCGAATCACTCAGAGCACACCGTTCACAAATAGAATCTACAATAACTGAGCTAACCTCTACCCCACCGAATCACATAATAACCTTCGATAATCAAAATACAGCCGAAGGCGAATGGGAAGGTTCTGAGGAACTTGGGTTTACCAATGCTGAAGAGCTTCTCGACATTCTGAAATGTAAAAATAACAAAAAAGGTCTAGGTCATGATATGACCAGCAATTTCATTTTAAAATGTTTTAATATACCTCTGCTTAGGCACTTAAGCATTATCTTCAACCACTGCATTATTCATAGTTACTTTCCCTTATACTGGAAGCACTGCAAAATCATCCCCATCCTAAAACCAAACTCTAACCCAAACCACCTACGTACCTATAGCTATTCTCTCCGCAATCAGTATGCTGTTCGAAAAAATAATAATGAAAAACCTAATTAAACAAGTAAAATCCAAAAATACCTTGAAAAATGAACAATATGGATTCCGAGAAGGGGTAACCCTAAACCACGCTCTGATATCAGCTAACAATTTCATCTTTGAAAACATCCACCGTAGGCGGGCTACAATAGCCTGTGCGCTCGACTTTGAGAAGGCCTTCGATACTGTTTGGACACAAGGTCTGATTTACAAAATTAAAAATATCTATCGATTTACCCTCAACAGTACAATGCAGATACATAGCTACTTAACGGACAGATCTTTTAGCGTTACCAGCCCTGACAGCTCGGAAAATTCAATGACTAGATTGATACCTGCAGGTGTGCCACAAGGTTCGATACTTGCCCCTTTACTCTACAACATATACCTAGCAGATATGCCATCATATGAATCCCCTGACCCAACTTCAACTACCCGAATAGAACAACTAATATACGCTGATGACATCCTCCTCCTGGGATCTGGTGGATCTGTTCATCGAACTGAAACAGAAATGAACAGATTTCTAGACACACTATGTGAATATTTCACTAAATGGCATCTAAAACTAAATAGCACCAAATGTGTCAGCACCATCTATAAAGGCCCAAGAACATGCAACCTCTATAAGAGTGCCAAAAAGTTTAATCCAAAACTATTTATTTATTACGATACCCCGATCCAAAACAAGAAACAATTAAAGTACCTAGGCATAATCTACGATGAAAAACTAAACTTCAAAGAACACACCGAGTACAACTTACAAAAAGCTACAATGAAATTGAAGGAAATACATCACATCTTTAAACCAATATTTAATCCATCTTATCATAGCAAAATTACATACTTGCGCTCTCTAGCTTACAGGAAGCTAATCCAACCTATCCTACTATACGGACACGTAGCCTGGATGAGTCTAAGCTCTGCCCAAATGGAACACCTACGAAAATTTGAAAGACACACTCTCAGAAATTCTATCGAACAACAAAGAAATCCCGAAACTCAACATTATTTATCAAATAAAAAACTATACAATATAACAAAAACCCAAAAACTAGACGAAATGCTTTTTAAAATACTTGAAAAATTCATCTTAAACTACAACATCGAACAGAACGAAATACCTTATAGGCACTCAACTGAACTAGTCACTGTAAACTTTGTAAGACATCTAGACTCTAGTGGAATTCTTTACGATCAGAATAGAAAAGTTATATTTTATAACAGGAAATTCCAATCGCTAAATACAAATGAAGGTCTAATATACCTCACTCAATAATAAAACCGACGTACATTTATTAACTGATAAACTAAAATCCTCCTGTACATATACCCCACCCCTGAACATGTAAATAGCCCCCCTCCCCTCTCCTCTTAATAATATTTAAGAACTACACTCATAAAAATTAATTTCTAAATTTTGGAAATCTCGCCATTGAATCGGCTTACCTTTGAAAATAGAAAAAAAATTTCTTGTTATTAGAAAATTGTCTTTTGAATACAGAAAACCTTTCTTGATGGAAAAAATTCAAGAAAGAATTTTTCTTAAAATAGAAAAATGAAAATCTCATATGTTTGTTTTGCCGTCGCAGCCAAAACACTTTTTTTTCGTATTTAAGGACAAAATCACCTTTGAATATATGAATGAAATGACCCTATAATATAGGAAAGTAGCCATTGACTTCCTTCGGCTTCCGAATGTTAACGACAAGAAAAACGAAGTGGGACGAAGGGCCTACTCGGCCCGACTACTACCCGGCTACCGACTTCTCTGATCCCCCGAGCGTCAGTTGTGAAAAAATTCGTGAGTGATGGACGTGATTTTCAAGCGGATAAGAGGTGAAGCCTTTTTCCGAATATTCAAAGGTATGTAAATATGTATATAATTTTTTATAGCGGGCGTACAATTGTTTGTATGTAATTAAGGGATACATTTCAAATCTCTTTACCAAGTGTATACCAATTTAGGTGAATTGTTTTTTAGCTAAGAGCTACGTACATACATACATTTGTACATAAATTTGTGGGTGTACAGTTCTATAATAACTTTATCTTATGACTCGCATTTTATTTATTTTTCAGAATGAAAATACCTGCAGTTGCATCAGCCAAATAATTTGTTTGTCGAAGCTGTAATTTTGTTTTAAAACCTTCTAAGGTAAGAAAAATATGTTGTATTTGTTTGACATACTTATGTATGCATGTAAATATCTATGCATGTACGCGGCTCACCCGATCTGAAACCCGATTTTCAACCCTTTCATATTCTGCTCCTCTCTCTCGCTCGCTTGACCTACGCGTCGCGACGTTTCTCTCTTCACCTTCTTAAAACTGACACGATCTGCCCTGCTTACATTCGGTCTCCCTTCGCGCAAAGGACTGTATGTAAATATATATGTATGTATGTACGTGTCTCTCCCGTGCCTCCCTTTCTCTGAAATTCGATTTTCAACCCTTCATTTTCTACCTGTCTTGCTCCTCTCTCTCGGTCGTCTGTCCAACATGTTTGTATTTTGGCTATTATTAACATTACATTATTTCAAAAAAGTTGTTTATCTAAAAACAAATCATTGATATCCCAATAACTCTTTTTTTATAGATGAGGAAAGGCGAAGAAAATGGATCACCTTAGGTCATATGAAGTTCAACAGACCTTGGGTAATAATAATGTTTTCTTGAGTCAAAAATGTGTTATTTAAAAATGTTTAAATGTTAAGTGTTAAATGTTTTAAATATAAATAAATATAATATGCAAAAGAAAAAACAAATTACATTTTATTTTTAGGGTTTCAGTGTTAATATAAAACTTCCTTTCAAGAAATATTATTTCTTAAATCAAGAAATAAAATTTCTTGAAAGGAAATTTAAACAAGAAAGAATTTTTCTTGTTTAAAAGGTGCCTTTCTAAAAAACCCTTTCTTGTTTTAAGAAATTTAATTTCTTGAAACAAGAAACAAACCACCTTTGAAACAAGAATCGCCTTTCTTGTTTTAAGAAATATTTTTTCTTGTTTTTATGGTGGCTTTCTAAAAAACCCTTTCTTGTTTTAAGAAATTTAATTTCTTAAAACAAGAAATATTTTTCTTGTTTTAATGGTGCCTTTCAAAAAAACCATTTCTTGAAACAAAGGTGAGGTCGCCTTTGGCAAAAATTCAAGAAAGAATTTTCTAGATTTTAAGGAAATTCTTCGATTTTTTTTTATGAGTGTAGATATAAGCAAAACCAAAACAACAACACTCACAATCTCAGGTTTTTTTCAAAAAAAAAAAAAGATTTTTTTCCCTGAACACTAACTGTTAAAGAACAAACACACATACAAAACCAACTTTAATGTAAGTACAAAAGTACACTCAAAAAATTTTTTTCCTAAATTTTAGAAAATCGCCATAAAATGAAATTTTTTCTTAATTTTAGAAAATTTTCGTAATTTTAGAAATTGTTTTCTTGAATCTAGGAAAAAAGACCATAAAAACAGAATTTTATGAAAAACCTTTCTAAAATTTAGAAAAATGATTTTTTTTCTTAAATCAATGGTGTTTTTTCCTAGTTTGCTCTCCAAAAGTTTTCTTAAATTAATGGCGATTTCGCCATTAAATTAAGAAAAAATGTACTTCAGCCCTTCCTAGAATCTAGAAAGTCGCCATAAAAAATACGGTAAATTTTTCTAAATTTTAAGAATTTTTCTGAATTAAAAAAAAAATTTTTCTTGAAAACAGAAAAGTAGAATTAGAAAATCACCATAGATTTAAGAAAAACTTTTTGTATTTCTTTTATGCTTCTCACTCTTTCTTCGAAACGAAAAAGAAGAAGACAAGGGGTTAGTCCGCGGCGCGTTGCGACGACAGTTTTTGGCGTATGTATGTATATGTTTATGTGTGTTTGTGCGTATGATCGAGAATTTTCTTGTGCGTAGCTGTAACTTTTATTGCGTTGTTGTTTTGGAAATGCAGTCTCTAGCGAGAGAGTTGCTTGCGTTGCGCTGCATTTTGAACCCTTGTGCTCAGTTTTGGATGAGCATTCAAAGTAATAAGTTTGTGTTGAGCCCATTTAAGAAAGTTAAAGTGCGATCCCTCTAAAAGGCAATTAATAGGTAAGCAATTTAAATAAATTTAAATATAAATTTGGTAAGTGTGTGAAAATTTATGGTAAGCAAAGGGCATACTATTGCAGGCCGCAAATACCATCCTTCTCTAATATTAATTTTTATTTTCGATTGCAGGAATAATTTCAATTTCAGGTATTGTTGATAATTTGGCAGTAAGTAAGTAAATTTTAATAATAGGTAATATATTAAATACCTACATAATATTAATATTTATAATTTTTTATCTCTTTTGTTTTCTTTTCTCTTTTTTGTTTAGGAAATATTTATAATGTAATTTTTATCTTTTTTGTTTTCTTTTCTCTTTTTTCTTTAGGAAATATTTACTATCTTATTTTTATCTTTTTTGTTTTGTTTTCCTTTTTTGTTTAGGAAATATTAATAATTTTCTTTTCATCTTTTTTATTTTCTTTTCTCTTTCTTGTTTAGGAAATAAAATAGTAAAATAAATATGTATACATTTTATTAAAATAAAGAAAATTTTCTGAAAATAAAAAAAGTCCTTTCTTATTTTAAGAAAAAAAATTCTATTTTCAAGAAAAGTACTTTCTGGATTTAAGGAAATTTTCGTATTTTATGGCAATTTTTCTTGATTTTAGAAAAGTATTTCTGCTTTTCAGAAATTCTTTTCTAAATTTTAGAAAATTCCTTTCTAAAAAATACGGTAAATCGCCATCGACTGAAATTCATGGCGAATTTCTTGATTTAATGGCGATTTCGGGCTGTTTTTTTTTTGAGTGTACAAATGTAAAGAAACTAGTGCCTAATGCCCCGTAAAGCTATAAGCGCAGGGCTAATCTATAAATAAATTTAAGTAACTGTAAACATCGAAATTGTCACACATGTATTACTCCTTTAAATGTAAACTGAACCATTTTGAAAATATTGACAATAAAGAAAGGAAGAAAGAAAGCTGGGCGAGCATTCAGTGTGTTTTCAAGTGAAATACTCGTAAAGCAAAATGTCTGGTCGTGGAAAAGGTGGCAAAGTGAAGGGAAAGGCAAAGTCCCGCTCGAACCGTGCCGGTCTTCAGTTCCCAGTGGGCCGTATTCACCGTCTGCTCCGCAAGGGCAACTATGCCGAGCGTGTTGGTGCCGGCGCTCCTGTTTACCTAGCTGCCGTGATGGAATATCTGGCCGCTGAGGTTCTCGAGTTGGCTGGCAATGCTGCCCGTGACAACAAGAAGACTAGGATTATCCCGCGTCATCTGCAGCTGGCCATCCGCAACGACGTGGAGTTGAACAAGCTGCTCTCCGGTGTCACCATTGCCCAGGGCGGAGTGCTGCCCAACATCCAGGCCGTTCTGTTGCCCAAGAAGACCGAGAAGAAGGCTTAATCGTTATAAAAGCGGAGCTCATTTGTACATACAAACATATACCCAACCGTCCTTTTCAGGACGACCACGTTATTACCAAAGAATAGAAGATTTACATATACGAATATGATTTAATTTCAAAAATAAACTATAAAACTGCTTGAAATATAACATTGAGACTTAAATGAACTCAAATGGTACAAATGGTAGGCTCACAATACTATTCGGAAGCTAATGTTTGATTTGTTCGGCCGTCGGTCCAGTAGATTAGTGGTCGAAAGCTACAGGATCTAAATGTTCAATTCTTAGATTACATTGGCGACTCACTCGTATTTCTTCCTCAAAAGATGTAACGAGTTGCCGTTTACGCTTACACTTTTCCGTTGCAAGCAGTACAGTTTGTACAAAATACATTCATCCCATGTGCATGTGTAGTTTGATATTTCAGTGACCGATTGTTTTCCAGCGCATTTTAATATTATTGTATTATAAATATTATTGAAAATTTGTCTTCTCTCGAAATTTTAATGGTGGTCCTGAAAAGGACCGATTGCTGAATGAAGTACAAGCTGTACTAGTTTTTTAACCGCCGAAGCCGTACAGGGTGCGGCCTTGCCTCTTCAGGGCGTACACAACATCCATGGCTGTGACAGTCTTCCTCTTGGCGTGTTCGGTGTAGGTGACGGCATCACGGATAACGTTCTCCAAGAACACCTTCAGAACGCCACGTGTTTCCTCGTAAATGAGTCCAGAGATGCGCTTTACGCCGCCACGACGAGCCAAACGGCGGATAGCTGGCTTCGTGATACCCTGGATGTTATCACGCAGCACTTTGCGATGACGCTTGGCGCCTCCTTTTCCCAAGCCTTTGCCTCCTTTACCGCGACCAGTCATTTTCACTCTTTTCTACTGTTAACACACTGCACGAAAGTCACTGAAGAACTAATTCCAAATTTTCGGCGTGCCCCTATATATACCTAAAACGCCAGAAACACGAGCGAGTCCGAACGATATGTCCGCCTCGCTCTCCGCTCGACAAATGAGATGGCCTCTGCTTCTCTCTCTTTTCAACCCTCCACGTTTTGCTATATAAGTAGGTAGCAAATGCGGCGATCGTTTATTGTGTTTTGAAACGTGAAGTGAACGTGAACAGCAGTGAATTCGAAAATGGCCCGTACCAAGCAAACCGCTCGCAAATCGACTGGTGGCAAGGCGCCACGCAAACAACTGGCTACTAAGGCCGCTCGTAAGAGCGCCCAGCCACCGGAGGCGTGAAGAAGCCCCATCGCTATCGCCCTGGAACTGTTGCCCTGCGTGAGATCCGTCGCTACCAGAAGAGTACCGAGCTGCTGATCCGCAAACTGCCTTTCCAGCGTCTGGTGCGTGAAATCGCTCAGGACTTCAAGACTGACCTGCGATTCCAGAGCTCGGCGGTGATGGCTCTGCAGGAAGCTAGCGAAGCCTATCTGGATGGCCTCTTTGAAGATACTAACTTGTGCGCCATTCATGCCAAGCGTGTCACCATCATGCCCAAGGACATCCAGTTGGCCCGTCGCATTCGCGGCGAGCGAGCTTAAGTTGAGACGGCTTCAACTGGCTGCCAATGCTCCAGCATACTTTGTACAAATCGGTCCTTTTCAGGACCACAAATTACGTTCAATGAGATATTAATTTTAATTCAGCAGCAGCAACGTATATAAAATTAAGAAATAGTCGGAAGTATGAAAGACATGGTCAATACTTTCAAACATCAGAAAAAAATCGAAAATCTATCAAATATATTCTTATTATAACCTAGTGAACATAATGAAACAAAATAAGATTAGAAAATTACAGATTTTATATTTTTTCTTAATCGCTAACTTCATGGCGACCTATGTCTATGAACCATTTAGTGGAGTATTTTTGTCTTGGGTAAATATAAAACAAGTTATAAAAGACAGCATTTTGTGTCATATCTTGATGTAAATGACTTTAACTTTAATGTTTATCAACGAACGTGACAATATATGTTTAATTTCTTATTTTCAAATATGTTTTTAAAAACATTTCACTTGTGATTTCGGCAAACTTTTAAAATTAGTATGGTTTAATGGGACAAGAACGCTCAACGTTAAACATAAGTAATAAATTGAAAACTTATTTAAAACAGTCTTAAAATAAAACATATACATTATTCAATGTATTATTTATTATATTATATAAAAAAAGATTCAAAAATACATATTTTATGTTTTTTTAGGTTAAATGAGTGCGACTTCTACGTACGCACACTCTAAAAATGAGTGTGGTTCAATGGGACAAAAACGCTCAACATTAGACATAATTAAAAATTCGAAAAATTATTAAAAACAGTCTGAAAATAAAACATTTACATTATTCAATGTATTATTAATTATATTATATAAAAAAAAGATTCAAAAATATATAATTTATGTTTTTTTGTAAGAAAAATTGAGTGCGTGAAGCTGCACACTTTTAAAATGAGTGTGGTTTAATGGGACAAGAACGCTCAGCATTAGACATCAGTAAAAAATCGAAATATTATTAAAAACAGTCTGAAAATAAAACATATTCAAAATTATATAATTTATGTTTTTTTTGTAAGAAAAATTGAGTGCGTGAAGCCGCACACTTTTAAAATGAGTGTGGTTTAATGGGACAAGACCGCTCAGCATTAGACATCAGTAAAAAATCGAAATATTATTAAAAACAGTCTGAAAATAACACATATACACTATTCAATGCTTTACTTATTATGTTAAATAAAAAAAAGAATCAAAAATATGTATTTTATGTTTTTTTTAAATGTAAAATTCAGTGCGGCCTCTACCTAATTCATATATGGGACGCAAAGTATCCGAATTTGGAAAAACTATTTATAAAATTGCCTGAAAAGCTAAATCCACTTAAACAAAGACAAAATTCATTTTATAAAATTGCAAATAAATGTAATGTTTCGAAAGATTGATATTTTTAACAGTCCGAAAACTATTATCGAATGTAGTCTGATAGACAACTTTGTACGTAGCCAAGGGACAACTTGAAACAAGAATTAAAATACCTAAATTAATGATAAGTGATTATATTTTTGGTTTTTCGTAAAGTAAAAGGTTCGAGTTTTATTTTTTATACCCTTGTAGAGGGTATTATAATTTCACTCAGATGTTTGCAACGCAGTGAAGGAGACGTTTCCGACCACATAAAGTATATATATTCTTGATCAGCACCAATAGCCGAGTCTATCTAGCCATGTCCGTCTGTCCGTCTGTCCGTCTGTCCGTCTGTCTGTCTGTCCGTCTGTCCGTCTGTCCGTTTCTATCCGAACTAGTCTCTCAGTTTTAAAGCTATCGCGATGAAACTTTCCCGAAAGTCTTCTTTCTATTGCAGGTAGTACATATGTCGGAGAGAGCCGGATCGGACCACTATATCTTAAGGCTCCCATAGGAATATTCAAACAAATATAGGAAATATCATTGTAACTTTGTAGGAAGTAGGCGTTTTGATTTTTGACAACTTAAAAACAAAATTTAAAAAAAATAGACACGCTGAATCTAAAATCCCTGGAACTGCACCGAGTGAGCATTAAACTATAGGTATTTACTTTATCTGCAAGGGTATATAAGCTTCGGCTGGCCGAAGGTAGCTTCCTTTCTTGTTATTAACAAGATTCCAAATATTTCAGAGATTTCATATTTTAAAATGGGTTTTTAAAAAATTTGTTCATGTTACGAATGTCAATGTTGAAGTTCATGCAGCAATAAAAAGTCACAAAAACAAGATACTTGCAATTCGAAAACGGTAATTGATTAATTCATCTTTTAAGGATGTATACCAATAAAAACATATTTTCTATTTAAAATCTTAAGCACTGAAAACAAGAAAATAAGTTTGCACTTCAAGCAAACATTAGCAGAGCAAATGACTGATGCCAGATCCACAGTTAAAGTGCTCTCCTCCTCGATTCTCATCCGAACGAAGGAGGTCGGTAACGAGCGCGCGCGCCATTTTCTAAACAAAAAAGTGTTTTTCAGTGAATAAAAATGTCTGATTCTGCAGTTGCAACGTCCGCTTCCCCAGTTGCTGCCCCACCAGCGCCAGTTGAGAAGAAGGTGGCCGCCAAAAAGGCATCTGGATCCGCTGCTACAAAGGCAAAGAAGACCACTGCCCCGCCATCGCATCCGCCAACTCAGCAAATGGTAGACGCTTCCATCAAGAATTTGAAGGAGCGTGGCGGCTCATCGCTTCTGGCAATCAAGAAATATATCAGTGCCACTTATAAATGCGATGCCCAGAAGCTGGCTCCATTCATCAAGAAGTACTTGAAATCTGCCGTGGTCAATGGAAAGCTGATTCAAACAAAGGGAAAGGGTGCGTCTGGCTCATTTAAACTGTCGGCCTCCGCCAAGAAGGATCCCAAGCCAAAGGTTGCGTCTGCTGAGAAGAAAGTGAAAAGCAAGAAGGTAGCCGCCAAGAAGACCGGAGCCACCGCCAAGAAGGCTGCCACGGGAGCTGCCGACAAGAAGCCCAAGGCTAAGAAGGCTGTTGCCACCAAAAAGACCGCCGAGAAGAAGAAAACGGAGAAGACGAAGGCCAAGGATGCCAAGAAAACTGGAACCGTAAAGGCAAAGCCAGCAGCAACAAAGGCCAAGTCGACGGCAGCGAAGCCGAAGGCGGCCAAAGCACCAAAAGCCAAACCAGCGGCGTCTGCTAAACCCAAAAAGGCGGTGAAGAAAGCAGCTGCTCCTGCTACCGCTAAGAAGCCGAAAGCCAAGACTGCGGCTGCTAAGAAGTAAATTGTGAAAAAGTACAGTACCTGGTACACGCTCGCAATCGCAATTTCAGATTTCGAAATCTAAAATTAGTTTAACAAGCCCTTTTCAGGGCTACAACTTTGGTTAACAAGAGAAAGGAACTTTCAATTGAAAACATATTGTACATTTAATGTATCCATTTATATTGTGGCACCTGGCCGCCAGTAGAAAGTATATCAGTATACCAGGTTCATAGAGGAGACATTGCACAATTTCTTTGTAAATAGATGTTAATGATTAAGTCCTTTAAAAAAATGGTGCACCAAATTGATAATTTTATATTTTATGGCAAATGGTTTATGGTATATTGAAAATTTAGTTTCTTTGGTAAAATATGTTGTGGCCCTGAAAAGGGCCGTTTTGGATCTTTCTCCGCATCCGCAGCAAGAGAAAATTACTTGGAGCTGGTGTACTTGGTGACAGCCTTGGTTCCCTCACTAACGGCGTGCTTGGCCAACTCTCCGGGCAGGAGCAGGCGAACAGCCGTTTGGATTTCCCGACTGGTGATGGTCGAGCGCTTGTTGTAGTGAGCCAGACGAGAGGCCTCGGCAGCAATGCGCTCGAAGATATCATTCACAAAGCTGTTCATGATGCTCATCGCCTTCGACGAAATGCCGGTGTCAGGATGGACCTGCTTCAGGACCTTGTAAATGTAGATGGCGTAGCTCTCCTTCCTCTTGCGCTTCTTCTTCTTGTCGGTCTTGGTGATGTTCTTCTGGGCCTTGCCAGCCTTCTTGGCTGCCTTTCCACTAGTTTTAGGCGGCATTATTCACTTCACTTATGATTTCACAAACACAATTCACTGATCATAGTGGTGCGTTTCAAGTTTCAAGTTTATTGTCTTAGGTAAATAGAGGTAGTACAGTGGTGATACCTTAAAAATAGTACAGTCTTGGTTGACAAATTCAAGCTTACTTAGATTATGAGATTCTTTGTATTTTGCCTTATGCTTTAAGCTTATCAAGGCGTGAGTATCATTTGAGGTTAACAATTTTAATTTTAAGTTTTGATTTGCTGTAATGTATGGATGAAGGGAATAGTGGGGTAATGTATGCTGCATATAATTAGTAAGGAAAACAAGTTTATTGATTTATATTAAAGATTAAATCCTCAGGACTTAGGGATTGACGCTG